ACCAAGATAGTTTTTTTCCTTTGGGAAAAAAGTTCTTTCATTGTTATATAGTTCCCCGACCACCCAGACCACTTTACTATGTAGCTCTTATTCTGGACTCTTGTCATGCCAATAATCCTAATCATATATTCCTTTTATACAGTTCTCTTCTTTATCTTTATGCTGAGTGGAATATCTCAGTCCCAAAAAAGACAAATACGGCGGCGTAATGCCACTGTTATAGAACAGGACTGATATGGGTGCTGGGGGGAAACTAAGAAAAGAGGAGATAAATAATCTACACATGACATTGAAACAGACGAGGGAGAGAACTGACTTTCTTTTTGCCCTTTAAATATCTTTCCTCTTCTTTCTACAATTGTCTATCTACCATGCTGTACATTAAATTTTTATTAGCCTCTACCGCCGCCATTCTTCGTCACACACAGCCTACTTCATATTGAAATAGCATAGACTTCTCTATTTTGAAACAAAGGGGATTCACCCCATAATAATGGCTTTGAGATTTGATAAATACTGAGTGAATAGATGCATAACTCTTTCTGTGTGTGTGTGTGCATGTGTCTATGTAAATGTGTGTGTGTTTGTACATACACATTGTTGTGCCCCATTCTGTCAGTTACTCTCTGTAGTGAGCTGGTCAGCGCTGGGTCCGTTCTGACTCGAAGGTACATAACAACAACACCCCACAGGGTTATATTGGCTGTGACCTTTATGGAACACCTCATGGAGTCCTTTTTGAGGAGGAGTCTGTGAACTCCTGTGTGAGTTTGGGCCCATATCTTTTTTCGCTCCTTGTCAGAAATTCTCTAGTCAGTTTTTCACTTCAAGTGACCTCATGTGATAGAGTAGAACTTCCTTCTACAGTTATTGGCTGTAATCTTTCCAGCATAAGATTCCTTACTTTTCTTCTGTGAAAGCTCCCTGAGTGAGTTGGAACTGCCAACCTTTCTGTTAGCAGCCGAGAGAGACCCTCAGTGAGAGGGGCTGACATGGTGACTGCAGCAACGTGCTCGAGTGTGTCAGAGACGGTGAGGACGGCACAGGATAGGACAGGTTCAGATCTGTGGTCATTAGGGTGGCTTTGAGTCATTTTTGACTCGTTGTTACCAAAAAACAACAATCACCCAGCCCTCACAGAACTTTAATTTGCTGTATGAACATCAAGCTCAAAATCAAATAATCTTTCTTGCAAGTTTCCCTCATGCTTGAAATTCTGCATAAGAAAATGTTGGCAGAAATGCCCGTTTTACTCTTTTTTTGTTTTGTTTATTTTTTATACCAACCAGTTTAATATAAATGCAACCTGCATAGAAAAACTTGAAACTATGCATAAACCAAAACTTGAATGCCAGGTAATGGGGCAAAAGGCAGATTTTCTGACCGTTTGGCTCACCCAGACCCCAGATCAAAAACAATAAAAACAAAAATGACTGCTGACGAAGATTCATGCTAAAACTGTGGGGAGGAGACTGGAGTAGTGTATACACAGAAACACCACGGAAGATCACAAGATCAGGAGTAACAACTTGGTTAAACCAAGTTTAACTGCTGCCTCTATTTCTTGATGTCTCTTTTCTATTAGGTAACAGATTTGTATTGAGTGTTCAGACATCTAATCCTTAGAAGTTTAACTCGATGGTGGAGGAAAGGAAGAGAGAGAAAAGAGAAGTTTGAGAGTCCCTCAACAGCTCATCAATAATATAAGTGAATCCCTTAGAGACAAAGAGAGGGTCAATAAAAATAGGAATCTAATAGCTAGAAAGCATCTCATTTGCTTCCCCAGAGGCTTTCCCGGCTGCCAACATCCCTGACTGCAGTCTCCCTCGAGGTTAGCCAGATTTAGAGAGTGATGGCTAGCAGGGCTTTGAGATGTGAACAGCTGCTTGTCTGCCAACCTGTGCTGTGCAGAGAAGGGGTTTTCTTCTTGGTCCATTTGCAGACAGGAGCTGATGAGTTCAAACAACACGGTTCAAAGTTATCAGCCAAAGACACAGATAATGTGTGTTGTTGTGTGACATTGAGTCAGTGCTGATCTGTAGCTAATCCCTCCGGTGGGTTTTCAGAAGAGATTGCCCATCCTTTTTCTGTGGTGCAGCTAGTGGATTCAAACCAGGTGCCTTTGAAATTACAGTGCAGCTTCTTACCACTAGGCCACCAGAGCTCCCTACCTTCCTTTGAGTTTAATAATGATACTAAAGATAATAAATACTTACTCATATGCTGAAGGGAGTTCTGATACCCTAGAGGTAAGAATCTGCACTGCAGTCCTGAAGGTATGTGGTTCAAATCCACCAGCCGCTCTGTGGGAGGATGGCCAATCTCCTCCCGTGTGAATACTGCCTCTGAAAACCTTCTAGGTGGTCAGCTGTGGGTTGGTTCTGACTCGATGGCGCACAACAACCACCACAATATGGATGAGGGGAAAGACAGTATGGGATGAATAGACACTGTGCTATAAACAGTATTGTGGGAAAAAATGTGTATGCATGAATGATTGGAAAAAAATTAGATCCTTTGCAAACTTTAACTTAAAACACAATAAAAAAATTAATTAAAAAATAAGAAACATTTTCATCTGGCTCATTCCTCTAAGTCTTATTTCAAGATTTAGTAAGATATTGGTTAAGCCGATGAAATCTAGACACATGGTTTTTAACCACTAGTAGTGAATGCTTTTAACTTCTCGTTGTAGATGATAGCACCAACGATTGGTGAGAATGAACTTTCTAAAGAATCCCAATTTGCTAGTGAGTGCTGCTCTCCATGGCCAGCGGTCCTCCCACACCCTATCGCGTGTGCAGCTGGTACAGGACAGGCGTTCTGTGTCTTAGACGGGAGGTCCTAGGGCCCTTCTGCCGTCCCTCCAGGAACAGCTTTAGAAGTGAGGTTGACCAGGTGCCCTATGATGCCTGCCTATCAGCAAGAGACAGAAGGTTGTTGTTGGGACCAGAATGCAGTGAACTCCCTGACAAAAAGGAAAAATAAAACTAGAAGAGAGAAGGAGATTCAATTCCTGGCTTCCTTAGCAGGGAATGTACGAGGTTCCTAGGTCTCAGGTCTCTGGTTAGATGGGTGGGAAGATTTTGATGCATGGCCTTTACAGAAAGTTTAAGCCCCTCAGTGAGGCCATTCCTGTAGTTGAGCTGCCTGGTTGGCAACAGAAGATTAGAACCTGAGGAATGAACAGGAGAGTGGTGGGTTCTGGGAATGGGTGGGGGGAGTGGGCCTTCTGGAAGCCAGAGGAACAGTCATATATGAAAAGACACATTCATGGACACGGGCACTCTGTGTCCTTTGCCTCTGGTGGCCACCATTTATATAGATATTCAATACAGTCAACCAGCCAGGCGCAATTGTAGCCTCTGTCCAGTAAATGCCCCAGTTGTCTGGAGTAAAAATGGTTTAGATTAGCACCCGGGCACTCTGACAAAGGTCCGGAGAGAGTTAGGGGGCTTGCCAGCACCATTAGCATTTATTTTTTCTTTTCCTAGCAGCACTAAAATGTGTGCTCAAACAGAAATGAAAAACTATTGGCAGCAAGAACCTCTTAAAAGATTAAAAAAAAAATCCTAAAAAAAACCAACCCAGAAAACCTCAGACAAATGTGTTTTACTTCTCTGGCAAACGTACCAATTAAAACGATGCTGTGTTGTGACTGATTACTGAGCAATTAGTGCCTAAGTGAGCACAGTGCTAGAAGCTTCTGTGAAGGCATCTCTGCTGGGGCTGGGGTGGCCACACCTCACAGCAAAACAAACCTTCCCCAAACTTCCTGCAGCACCCTCCCTACTGAGTCGCCCTGAAACCAAAGAAAACATTGTTGTTGTTGTTGTTTTCTTTGAGTTTCTAAGAGCTACCCTGAAGGGTTAGCTCGACAGAAGACAGAAACATATGGACACTGGCAATCCTGTTGGGAATTTCAGACATTTCTTCGTTTGTAAGCAGGATCTGTTTTCCGTGAGCTATTTTTAGTGGCAACATCCCTGATGCCCTGTTCTCTTACAGTGTACCATTAGAGCTTGAGGCCTCGCCAAGTCCACCACGTGATTTCTAAGCATCGCTTGAGTTCCCTCGTAAGTGACTAGTCTCAGAGGACTCAGATACCAGGCTCTTAACTACCGAAGACCTCAGGGTCCTCCCTGCAGGCTTGGTTTCCTATCGATAGGATGTTAAAATTCTTCCCAGCTGCACTTTGTAAGAGGTCAGCTTGGCAGAGTGCTGAGTGACCTCGGTACTAGAGATATTTTCAGTCCTGCCAGCCGCCTATGTAAATATAAAAATGTATGAGGCTGCAGAACTGCGTGTGTGGGAACTGAACAACTATACTATTGAGAGGAAGTCGCAGGGGAGCCCTCCCTGGCTCCCCTCCCATGGGTTCAGTTAATGCATGCATACTTTGGCTAATCATTTTTATTCTGCCCAGTTTACAATTGCAAGAGAGCTGATTTCATTTCTGGAGTTCAGGAAAACCCCCATTCCTTTCTGAGGAATAGCATGATCTCTGCCAAGATGTGCTTACATTGTAAAATACTCATCATTTTCACTCTTTCAGTGATGTTCCTTTGCCTTGGAACAAGGTCCTGTGAAGCCAGACTTGTTTATTTTTGTTTTTCCTCCAGTGATTACATTGTTTAAAAAAAAAAGTGATTTATTTGCGTGTCTGCGTTAGATAGATAGACCTATTCACACGCCTGAAATGTAGAATGGAAGAGAATTATCGTAATGACCCGGAAGCAAGCTCTCAAACGGAATTGAGAAATCCTCTCAGGGCTGAATGCTCCTGACACTCCTGAGTGCGTTCAGTTTCAATGGATCAGATCTTTTCCATCTCCGCATCCAAGCTATTTGGCCCTGATCAGATGATCAGAGCTCAAGGAAGTGATTGGAGAGCGAGCTGGCTGCAGCTGCGATGTAGGCTGTTTTCAGGGACAAGGAGGCACTGTTTTTCCAACATAGCATCAACATAGAAGTTACTTTGTGGGCTCCAGGATGCAGCGATGGGCTGCACCGCCAGCATTGTTCTGCTTCAGGCTTTTCGCTCTGTGGTCCAGAGGAGCTGTCCACACATTTGTCGACGACGCCAGGAGGAACCCTCCCATGAAATTCTGCCTCTGGAAAGCGACGATGAAATGAGTCGACCCCGGACCCTCATCATAATGGTACAGTGTCCCTTGCAAAGCCCCTGAGCTGATTGAAATGTTATACAGGGAGCTTGTGATTTAGAGTTTTTGGTGTTCAGCTTGAGATAAATATGCGACCAGTTACTGCTATGTTTTGATTTTTTTGAGGGAAAATCTTTCTGGACTATTTCCGTCATTGGAAGGGCCTGTTTTCTTTCCCTTTGAGCTGTTGCAGAAATGTGCAGTTTATCATTGTATTTGAGGTTCTCTTCTTTATATGCAGTTGTTAAGTGTTATGCAGGGTATAGGGTGGATTTTGACATTTGGTTTAATTCGCTGGATTTTATTTTATAACCCTAGTTTGAGAGAAGAACCCGGAGACCTGTGTACCACGTGTACCCAGATCAAGTTGTAGTAGGTGTGGGTCACTGGCTGTCCAACTTCAGGCGAACTGGGGCCTTGGACTTTTGACTCTGTGATGGAAAGTTCTAGAACACTTCTGCATATAATTGGAATAAAATGTTCAGAATTTTGTGGAAGTTATTTTTTTATACAAAAAGATATCCTTATACTTGTTAAACTGCCTTTTTCTCTGTGCTTTATTGGAGAGCATTACTCCTTCGTGCTTCTGGTTTCGTCAGCAAGAATACCTTAGAGAACAAACTCTTATCTGAAGTTTGGGGAGAGATTTGCTTACTCGTTGAAATTCCATAATAGCAGGGAGAGAACATGCTTAAATTTCCAAAACAGGAGACATTGAAGTCTAGGTGTTTCAGTAGAGTCAACTGTCCCCTCTTCAGTTTCAGTGTTCAGATATCAAGGATGTACCAGATAATGAATGAAGATTACCTGTTACTCTGAAAGTTGAAAAGTGAAAGATATGTCACTTGGGCTGTGCCTTTTGAGTGACAGATTACTGAATAATACCCTTCTGTGCCAACTTTCTCTAGAAATCCATATTTGCATTATGAAATATAATATTTTCTTAAACTATTTGGTTATAATTTTCTATAAAACACTAAATTAGAATCATCTTCCACTCACTGTTCTCATAAATACCCACACATTAAAGTTATAAAGCATTGAGACACCTTTTTTACCAAGTTTGACTCTTTTTAAGGATGTAAGCAGTCCATAGCTACATATGTTATTCATGCCCCATCAGTCACTAAAACTGCCCTTTTCCCTAAATCTAATTTTTAGACAAAATAGAAAAATTGCAGCTAGAATTTTGGAAGGAAAATCTGTGTTACTGCTCAAAGTAGCAGAAAATTTAAAAACCTGACTTCACCTAATAACAATATCAATCTTTTCAAGGATCCTTTGATTGGTAGGAGACCTCTATTGACATTAAGAATGGGGTTCAGAAAGTCTGAATATTTGGTTGACATTGCAAAGTTACCAAATGTCAGAGTGAAGAATTGCACATCAATCGATGATTCCAAGGCCGGTGTACTTTCCATTCTGTTTATTCCCTAAAGGAAATAATGACATAACTGATAAAATGGAATTTTTATGAGGGCCACGATGGGAATCTTGGACCACTCAAAAGAAAATGTGCTCAGACAGAACCCTTGCTCATCTTGAAGGAGTCCTTTAGGCAAACTCCAAAATTTATATTTTCAAGAATTATTTATGTCAGGCCCACTGTGGACCAGGCAGTTACTAATCTAAGTGTTTAGAACCCGTAAGTAGATAAACTTGTCAAAGATCCCTGTCCCCAATTTCAAATTGTTTAAATGATAGCACATTTATAACTCTTGTTAGTGGGTATATATACTGTCTTAGTGATTAGTGATGCTTAGTGTACAAATGTGAGTCAATGAAAATATTTACTTTCATGAGGCTCATTTGAAAACTTTTTAAAAATTTTATACTGATTTACTTAAAAGGTTCGTATACATTGTTTTTCACACAGATCTTTCCTCTTTCCTTTACCCATCCCTCCCTCCACCCATCACATTGTGTGGTCCTATGATTGAGCTCTCCCTACCCCCCTATTCCCACCCATCCTCACGCCTCTGCTCCCCCTTCACTCCTTGGATCCTCATACTCGTTCTACAATAATGGTCTTATACAGTATTTGGCTTTAGGAGATTGAGTTCGTTCACTTAGCGTAATGCTCTCCAGTCTCTCCAAAGTGAGATAGCAATTTACAAAATCATTTCTCCTTCATGTTGCGTGGTAGTCCATTGTGCATGGAATTATGTACCATAATTCCTCAAGCCATTCCATTGTGGTTGGGCCTTTGGCCTGTTTCCATGGACTCACGCTGGTAAATTATGCTGCTATGAACATTGGTGTACAAATCCACATTTGTGCCTCAGTTCTCATTTTCTCGAGGTATATTCTAAAAACTGTACAACTTGATGTTGCTCTGATTCTGCACACTGTTCCATAGTCTTGTCTAATACCATAATGGTTACCCATTATGTGCCATGTTTGGATGAGCTTCCAGATTGATTTATGTTGGGAAGCAGGAGTGGCATCCACTTCCTAAACTAGATGCCTCTGCAAACTCTACAAACTCTCTAAGCTCTATAAATGTACAGAAATTATATTAGTTATAGAACAGAATTCAGGTCTTTTGTGCAAAACTTAGTCTTATTTGACTTGACAACACTTAACCACTTCTCTATGAGACTGGTGCTGTTATATCTGGAGGAACACTCTTCCACTTTGTACATCACTCTTTGTCAATGTGCAGTATGAAGTAATCTGGGTTTGCTGTGATACTGAACCTTGTACCACTGGGGTATCAAATACCATAATGGTTTCCCAATGTGGACAGTGTCTGGTAGAGCCCCCAGTTGTAAAACAGGTTTGGAAGCTGGAGTGGCATCCACTTCCTAAACAGCATGCCTCTGGAAAGTCAGTGAACTTGGAGAAATGCTGATCGTTCTTTTGTTCATAGAGTTGCTATGAGTCATGCTGGACTCGATGGCAGTCAACAACAACAACAACAACAACAACATTCCAAGCAGTAGAATAGCTGAGTCATATGGAATTTCTCTGTTCAGCTTTTTGAGGAAATGCCAAACTGTCTTCCAGAGTGGTTGTACCATTTACAGTCCCACCAACAGTGTATTAGAGTTCCTATCTCTCCACATCTTCTCCCAACATTTATTACTTGCTGCCCTGCTAAACTTTGCCACTGCTACTGAGGTGAGATGATACCTTATTGTAGTTTTTATTTGCATCTCTCTTATTGCCAATGATTTTGAGCATTTCAGAAACACGATTTAAAATCTTTTGTAGTTTAAACTTCACCTACTAGATGGACAGCACATTCTTCAGGTTCTGGCCTCTCAATCCTACAGCTGAAGATCTGGAGTGGTGCCTGGGGATCTGTCTTTTTAGCAAGCACCCTGGATGATTCTGGTTACAGAGAACCTTGGAAAAAAACTATGAGAAGTAGTTCACCATAAATGATCTTCTAAAGTCCTCATCCCTTTCTAGCTTCAACTTTGATGTTTTCATTTTTTACTGATGACTTTTTTTATCATCTCTCTTGATTGTAACTTTCTTGACAAACTCAGGGTCTTTTACACTCATTGTGTTATATTGTAGCTAATATCTAATGAATCTTGACTGAAAGCAGAGAGCACCAGAAGAATATCTATCTGTGTTTCATTGCCTATGCAAATACATTTGACTGTGTGGATCACAAGAAACTGTGGCTAACTCTGAGAAGACTGGGAAACACAGAATACTTGATTGTGCTTATGTGAAATCTACACTTGGACCAGAAGGCAGTCATCAGAACAGAGCAAGGAAACACTGTGTGGTTCAAAATTGGGAAGGGTATACATCAGGGATGTGTCTTACCTCCATACCTTTTAAATCTATATGCAGAACATATTATCCAGGAGATTGGCGTCTGTGAGGAGAAATGTGGCATCAGGACTGGTGCAGATTCATTAACAGTCTATGTTATGACACCACCCTGCTTGCTAAAACTGAGGATGACCTGAAGTGCTTGTTGCGGAAGGTCAAGGACTGCAGTCTTCAATATGTATTGAAGCTCAGCATCAAGAAAACAAAGATCCTCACCACTGGGCCAACTGGCTGCATCAGTATGGATAGTGAAAAAATTGAGATAGTTAACAGTATTAGTTTGCTTGGCTCCACAGTCAACACTCTTGTTACCAGCAGTCAGGAATTAAAAGATGAGTTACTTTTGTCAGAGGCCTCCCCAAAGTACTGAAAAGCAGTGATGTCAGTCTGCTAAGGTACACCTGATCCAGTCTTTGTGATTATTTGCTATACATCACTGACAATGACTAGGGATGATAGAAGGAGAATTGATGCCTTTGAGCTGTGGTGTTGGAGAATAGTATTGAATATACCACAGACTGCCAGGAGAACAAACAGGTTTGTCCTAGAGAGGGTGAGACCAGGCTGCTCCTTGGAGGCAAGGATTCTGAAGCTTTGCCTGACATACTTTGGACATGTTGCAAGACTGGACCAGTTTTTGGAGAGACCTCATGCTTGGGAGGGTAGAGAGACAGCGCAAGAGAGAAAGACCCTTGATAAGATGGATTGATTCAGTGACTGGGGTAATGGGGGTAGGTGTGTCAGAGACAGTGAGATTGGCACAGGATAGAGCAGGGTTTAAGGCTGTTGTACCTAGGGTCACTGTAAGTCGCAGGCGACTCAACAGCACATAACAACATCATTGTCATATATGCATTCATCACAAAATTTGGAAATTTATTTTTTTAAAAAGATGATAAGATTATGGGCTCTGGAGCCAGTGCATCAAGGCTGGAATCCTGTCGTCATCACTTCCTGGCCACGTGACTTGGTTAGCTCTCTTCTCTTTATCTCATCTCATAGATGATGATAATATTTGCATTAACTTAGGTTATGTATCACATGGTTCGAATCCACCAGCTGCTCTGTGGGAAAAGAATGGGCAGTCTCCCCTCATGCAGTTTATTGCCTCTGAAAACCTACTGGAGGGTCAGCGATGGGTCAGTTCCGACTCGATGTCACACAACAACCACGGTGCTGTTGTGAAGATTTAATGAAGTGGT